TGGCAGTATCGGTGAACTCAAGCGTGGCAACAGTAGTGACGTTGGCCCAGGATTGGGCAGTGTTTCGTTCTGCTGTGCATAAGGTCTCTATGAGTCGGTACCACCTCAATGGCACCTAACAACAACAACAACTTTTTTCCACCCTCCCATCCTTGGTTTCACTAATAAAATCTTTGATTTCTATGTAAGAGGGGGCTTCAAAAAATTTGTGGAAAAATGGAAATAAAAGGTAATGGAATTTTCCCATAAACTTTTTGAAGCCTCGTCAAATTTGTCTACTTTATATAATTGAGGTCATACAGCATTTGTTCTTCTGTAGCTTGGTTATCTTATTCAGCATAATGTTTTCAAGGTTCACCCATGCAGTGGCATACACCAGGACTTCAATTCTCTTCATGGCTCAGTAATATTCCATTGTATGGATATAACACATTTTGTTTATCCATTCATTTGTCGGTTGACATTTAGGTTTGTCCCATATTTCGACTATTGTGAATAATGTTGCCATGAACATTAGTGTAAAGGAGCCCTGGTGGCACTGTGAGTTATGCACTGGGCTGCTAACTGCAAGGTCAGCAGCTCAAACTCACCACTTGCTCCAAGAGGGAACGGCGAGGCTGTTGCTCTCATGAAGATTTACAGTCTGGGAAACCCTATGAGTTGCTATGAGTCAGAATCAACTTAATGGAACACTGATGTACAGGTTTCTGTGTGAATTCCTGCTTTTAGTTCTTTAGGGTGCAGTGAGTCCATAGGACTTTCAATGGTTCATTTTTTGGAAGCTGATCACCAGGCCTTTCTTCTGAGGTGCCTCCATGAGGACTGGCACCTCCAGCCTTTGAGTTAGCAGCTGAGTGCATTAACTGTTTGCCCAGCCATGGACCTAAATCCTTGTGTTCCAGTTCTGGCCAATGTAAATGCAACCTACTGAAACAGTTTCATGGAAAAAGTCACCAAGGAGACCATTCTACTCCCCACAGTTAACACAGAATAAAGGAGGAAAGGATAAAATGGAAAGAACAGAAAAAGAAAAAGAGCTGCTTTCCAGGCAGAAAAGACAGAACAAACAGTACAGTGAAAAGGCAGTTAGTAGCTCCCTCTCTCTGCTTCCAAATCAATTTGGCCAATTCCGTGAGCTAACACTCATGCCACATCACACTCAGCTGCTACGGAATCAATCTTTCCCCTTCAGACTCTAAAAGCTCTTCCAGGCCAGGGAGTGTTGGCCATCTTTGTTCCTCTAACTTCAGGGACAGCATTCAATAATAATAGAAATAAATTAAAAGAAAAAAACTCCCAAAAAACAGAAAACAAAAGCAAAACTGTTGCCGAATAAACAAAACATGAACACAAAAACAAGGTTCAGTTGAGAAAAGAGACTTTCTCTTTCTCCTGTATTTTTAAATGGGCATAATTTAGACAAATGGGCAAAGATTTAAACTGATTCACTTCTACCTCAAAGTGTTCACTTCTCCCTACTCAGGCCAAGGCGCCATGGGATGAGGCAAAGGCAAATGGAACCATTATGTGCTGCTATCCTGACGAGGGACTTTTACTTCATATATTGCTACTATGTTCCTGTAAAACCTCCTTTGGATCCATTATGCCATCTATGTACATTCTGGAGCAGTTAGAATAAAAATAATACCACAGTCACATAAAAATCAGATTTTAAAAATGCTATGTAGTTACAGCAAATATGCAGTAAACACTCCACCAAACTGAGTAACGGTCTTTTACCATTTTAGAGAGAAGGGGAAAATACCCAATGGAATTAATTCACATTATGGACTAATGGCCTTTAAGCCTTCGTTTGAAAGCCGACTGCAGGAAAAAGCTTCAACAAGGCCTACTTTTCACCATAAAAATAAATAAATCTCTTTCAAATAATGTGTACATGTTTCTTCCAAGCCAAGTTTCAAACAAAAATTAAAACCACCATCCCGTTATAGCAGTTAAAATATGGGCTTTATGATGGAAATGGTAGAACAATCTCAGTGAAGGAACTGTTGCTAGGTACTGACAGTAAAAGGAGAGTCTACAGTAAATACGTCACACCCCTGATATGGGGGCCCTGTTGACAGAAGACACTTAGACTCCATTTCTCAATAATGTAACTGTGTAACGACTGTCATTTTTCACAGGCCTTTTGATGCTCATGTCTACTGGTGTTCTGGCTTTAGTCCAAATTGGATAAATATACTTAGCATCCTGGATCCCAGAGATTTAGCATTCATTTTTATAGCAGATCTCTTGTGATTCTCAAAAGAGCATATTTCACTTCAACCTCTACGGTGAGAAGTGAATTTTGCATATATGTTACGTGGCTTTAAATTGGTGGAATTCTTCCTGAGATGGGCTACAACTGGCATTCAGTTCTTTCTTCTTTGGAACCACCTGACTATTCCATTCAGAGAACCCAGGACACGAGCCTCTGAGATGTGGCAGCATGTTGGGATTATCTAGGAAATTTTCTAAAAACTATAACTTCCTAAATTCTACTCTACACTCCCACACCTTCTAAATTAGAGTCTCTGAGTACAGGATCCATTGATGTGGATCTCCAATATATTACTCTTAGGAGGGAGCCCTGGTAGTGCAGTGGAGGACAAGCTGGGCTGCTAACCACAAGGTCAGCAGTGTGACTCTACCAGCCACTCCGTGGGAGCAAGAGGAGGCTTTCTGCTCCCATAAAGATTCACAGCCTTGGAAACCCACAACAGGGGTGCTATGAGTTGAAACCGAATTGGTGGCACACTACCACCACCACCTTCCTTAGGAGAGAGTGTATCAATGTCATGTGAGCCTCTGCTCTGGGATCACCGGTAAATTTCAGTTAATATTCCCACCACTAAAAATACCCTAACACCATTCAGCATTATAGAATGATCTGAAAACACCCTGAGTAAGTCCATTTCAACCAGTTCACTCATTCCTAACCTGTAATTTAGAAAAGATAAACAAGCAGAAGGGAGCTCCAAGGGAAAATAGTTTCAAGTTCAAATTCCATGAAGAAAATGAAAGGCTCTTGGAACATGTCATGAGGTTTCTTCTGTTACACACACATTTTGTACCCGTCTCTTGTGTTATTTTCCTAGTCTTCCGACAATACTCTCAAGTGGAGTTTTTGCCCTCAATTGCTGGGTGGTATCCGTATTAGAAGCAAACCCCAAAAACGTATCCTGATTCCCAGACTTGTGAAATGGGATGACAGTTAACCATGTGAGTGACCAGATAATGTCAATACGTCTTCCCTTTTGTCAAGCAAGAAGCTCCCAAGTAGCTCCTCTAGTCCTTCTTCTTGCCCAAGGAAGGAATGTAGATCCTCTGTGGTGTTCTCTAAGAAGCAGGCTATGTTTCCAATGGCTTTCCAAATGATTCCTTCTAGTCTCCAGGAGTCACGGGACTTTCTAAAAAAAAGCTGCTGATCAGGAAACATGGATTCAACTTTAAATGTAAGAATTTTGGAGAAGCCTAGCAGATGATTCTATGTCTGGAAAGCCTAAGAACAGCTAGGGAACAATCTGGAATGGAGCGATTCTGTAAGAAGGGGCTTCTCCCTTATACTGATACCGAGAACGATGTCATAGATCTGATAGCAATTGACTTTCCTCAACTCCTAACTGCCTTAAAAGGAGCATACTTGGAGGGAAACCAAGAATAGCTACTAATGAAACTACAAGTAAATATGAGATGGACATTAGCCATGAATGGACTTTCTAAAGCTGAGTTATTAATGAACAAAGGGAATTTCTTCTCTACATAAATTTCACCTATTCACTGAAAATATCCCCAAGTCCTTGTTGAACTTCTAATGACAAGACATCAATATCCAAACCAACTCTTTCATGAATCTTAAAATGTTTTATATCCAAGGACTGCAAAACCATTAATTAAGTCAAAGCAGTTTTCAAAATTTAGAATTTCTAGCTTATCTTGCAAATGGAAAAACCTGAAGTCAATTATGACTGGAATTGAAAACACTAAGACGAAATCAAGGCCAGAAGATCTGAATGCTTTAGAAAATAACAAACATCTTAATGTACTATTTTTGAGGGAAAACAAAACAAACAAAACCCTCTATGAAAGGTTCCCCAGAAATGCAGAAAGATTCTTATGTGAGAAAACTCAGCAATATTCATAGGTTTGTACATGCTGTTGAGGTTGCCTCCAGCCCTAATACCAACCAACAAAACGTTGAATTGATATTTGCTGACAAACAACATACTAAACACTCTGTAGGTAACTAATAAGAAAAATGTGTAAATTTGCCTTTTTTTATTTTTTTACAGGCAATAGAAAAGTTGTCAACGTGATTTTCAGGTAGGAGAGAAAAAAAAAAAAACCCACAAAAAACCCCACAACCAAACCATGCACTTGGCATGACATTTTCAAATACTTTAAGTTATGTAACAAAGCTTTCCCCAGACCCATTAAGTCCTACCGTGCCTGCACGTCTTGTGTAAGGAAACGCCGGGAGCAAAGGGTTACAGGCAGCCCCTGATGGTATGGGTTGAGGCGCCTATCCACTCTCTTCGGATGGAGTCAATCAAAGAACTCCACCCCGTTCCTCTTTTCAAAATGAACGTAGGCTTTTAGTGAACAGCAGAGGCACACTCCAGGTCTATTTTTTTGGGTGGTAATTTCTGGTTTTTGTAGGCCCAATGATCACGTTGCCTATGCTTACTTTATTACAATTACTAAACTCTATAGAAAATAGCATTTTCAAAATATAGCATTTAAAGACTCGTTTTGTGCCGTTCCTCCCCCAAAGCCCTGCTTTACTAGAGAACAATGTGAGACGGGCCATGGGGGCCGAAGCTGGGGATTCCTATGCGGCCGCCCCTCTGGCAGGGGATCCCTGTGTTCACAGAGGCCCCCACAGCCTGCTGCCGAGACAGCGACGTGATGCTGCACCAAGGGCCTGGCACAGTAGGTCTGGCTTTTATGATGCAAATTTCCACTTTAAACTCGCAGGTAATTACAGTCTTTGAACATAC